CACACAAAAATCAATAAATAAAAAGTTTTTTGAGGAAGAAGCATAAAAAGTTTCTTCATGTTAATTAGTAGGTGTGAAAAACATTACCATTGAAATAAATCTACCTGATAACTTTATATCCATGCTCAGGTGCCAAGGATCTCAGAAAGTAACAAAATGTGACTAGTAATAATCAGATATATAGAGATTAGAAATGCATGTGCAAACATCTTAATGTCAATTGCATTAAAAATGAATTTTTCTGTATGAAACTATCTTTTAATAATGAAATGTAGATCTTTTTTAAATGTTAAAACCTTATTTAGTTTTATGTTTTATAGGGTTTATACTGAGTACAATAGTGTATAACTATTCATTCAACACTGTGGACCTAAAAATTATAGCCAATTTTGAAAGAGATGCATCTTAGCTCAGAAAATTGTTACTGAATATGTCAATGCTGTCACAGTAAAATGCTTCTTCTAAGTATGTGGTTATTAAATAAATAATTTTAAAAAATTAATGATAAAAAGTGCACATATCAATGGGGTGCCATGTGATATTCTTATATGTATACATTATATAATATTTAAGTTATGCTAAACAATTCTATCACCTCAAACATTATCGTTTCTTTTTTTTAAAAAAAATTACTTTTATTATTTTTAATTATGTGTATCTATGTTGGCGGGGGGGGGGGGTCTGTGCATGTGTCTGCAGGTACCCTCAGAGACCAGGGGTGTCAGACTCCCCTGGAGCTGAAGTTACAGGCAGTTGTAAACTGCCTGACATGTGTGCTGGGAACCCAACATGAGTCCTCTGGAAGAGTAGCATACATTCAACCACTGTGTCATCTCTTTGGCCCCTAACATTTCTTCATAGTATAAATTTACTTGTTACTTACTTATATAGATTATTTTAACATTAACAAAATTTGTTCAGTATATCGTCACTTTCTATAAGAGCAAGTAGGAACCCTGAGACCAATCTCCCAATAAATTTTTCCTTCCTACAACCATATACCAAATCTACCATTTCCTTATAATTAATTACATATTCATTCCAAGCAAAAATCATTCCACCTGATTATTATTATTACCATCAAATCTCTTTCTTCCTGTTGGTAACAATTCTTCCTATCAAACTCTTCCAATGGGATATTACAAACTAACCCTTATACGTTCTCCATCCACTCCCAAACATCCCTCTTTTCAGCTTCAGTAGACTCTCACATCCTTTTACAGCACCGATTTCCATCAAATCACTTTTAAAATAAGATGTTACTCTTTCTATTCTCCTGGTTAATAGGGAAAAGACACTATTTGCACATCATTCTTATTTAACTCATGCCATATCTGTCAAAAACAGCCCCTTACCTTGGGCACCATTTTGTACAATCCTACCCGACACAGTCTAACTCTCTCCTTGATAACAGTGGCTCTGTGTGACTCTCCATTCACTGCTTTTATGAACTCGACAAATGCAATAATTTTTCTAAGATTCTGGTCTTGATTCCAACGTCCTTTTTAATCATCCTTTTATCCCACTGCCCTTTTCACTTGGAACTGGTAACTTGTTCAAGGTCTTGAATTTGAAATTCCTCTCTCTGACCTTAGCTTCTTTCATTCTAAGTCAATGCCCCATTTCTGCTAAATTTGCTTTTGAGTTTCCAGAATATTTCCAGTCCCTTTATTTTTCTTTTAATCTTCATTCCTACCCAAACCCAAGAAAATCACACAGAAATACCTTGTGTTCTAGAACTCTTGACTTTCTCACCTATGTGCTCATTCCACTGACTCTAGATAAGCTATCTTTGCTTTTACTTATATACCCTGTCAAAAAGTGGTAATGACCTTGCCTACTGTTAAGGCATGTATGTTATATTACATACATTATCATAAGGTAATGCATCTTGTTTAGTTCAACTTGTTTTCTCTTATCTCTACACATTCATCATTACACAATAAGCACTTAAATTTGAAATATGAATGTACCGCTATGCATCTTCTGTTAGCTTTATACTGAATTCCCTAATGTGACTATTCCTTTCTAGTTTTCCCATCTCAAATCCATTTGCTCCTTTACACTGGGCCAAATGCCACTGAGAAAACCAAAAGTCTTCCAGTGGGAGTTAACACAGTTAACTTTGAATCTTCATTCCTCTTATCCATCTTCCCTAATCTTTCCTTTGTGTAAAAAAAGTAATTTTGTAAAAAATGCAAACTACAAGGCAATCACCTAATGTTAAACATGCAGATATACTTTAACTTTCCCTCTTTCATTTTCCTATTCTATTCTGCCAGTCTTCCAAAAAAAACAAAAACATTGATAATTGCAAACTAATATGTAAATTAACTACCAGTCTATTTCTTCATGATAGTCTCATTTCAGGTCCTCATAAGAGAGTTTGAATATCTGTTTGCTTTTATAGAAAGCAAGAGCAGTTAAGCAACTCTGAAAATAGGCTTTCTTGGCAGGTCATGTGGCACACACCTGTAATCCTAGGCTTGGCAGGTGGAAGCAGGGGGATCAGGAGTTCAAGGTCATTCTTAACTATACATAGATCTGTATGCATGAGACCCTGCATCTGGTCAAACTGACCTTGAACTCCCCAAACCTTTCTCAGCCACACAAGTCCTAAAACTACAGATAGACACCATCTGCCAGGCTTTCCTTAAAACTATAATGGAAGAATTAAATTTTGATTCTTTCTGCAGATATTTTTTTAAAGACCAATTACTTTTAAAACACTTTAAACAATGCTGGGTGTGGTGGTCCCAGCACTCGGGAGGCAGAAGCAGGCAGATCTCTGTGAGTTTGAGGCCAGACTGGTCTACATAGGAATTCTAGGCCAGTTGCAGCTACATGGAGACCTTGTCTCAAAAAGACCAAAAAAAAAACAAAAAAAAAAAAAAAAAAAACCTTACAATTTCTTCTAATTCTTATCCTTTAGCCATTAAAATTATTTTTTAAAATTCTCTTTTTCTTTCTTTTCTTATCTTATACTAGGTCCCAGGCTGACCTTGAACTTGGCTTTGTAGCCAAGGATGATCTTGAACCATTACAGGTATGTACACCAGCATGTCTAGTTTATCTGGTGTTGGAGATCAAACCAAGAGCACATGCAAGTAATCTACCAACTAAGCTACATTCCCAGTCCAAGCCATTTCATTTCTACACAGGTATTTACACAGAATTTCTTAACTTTCACTGAACTTAACATTCCCCCAACACTAATTTCTCATCATGTTGCAAAGCACTATACACAGAACTAATGTTCAACGTAAGTTTAGATAACTAAATGAATGCCTGTCATTTGTGGTCATAACAAATTTGAAAATGTCATGAATAAAGGATAAAGCCAACTAAGAAATGGGAAAGGCCATAACTTGAGATTAAATGGATTTGGAAAGAGGGTATCGAAATATTTGTCTTATGACAAATTCAAACTCAAATGAGCTGAAGAAATTCTGTGAAAACAAATTTCAAAAAGTACCATATAAATCATTCTAGTATTTAGCTAGCAAGAATGATAATGGCTCTTTTTAAGGACTAAAATGGGCTGCCAGAAAGCAGAGCAGCGACAGCAAATCCAGAATGTTGACCATTTAAAGAGGACCCTCAATCATGCACCAGGTTTTGGACAGCAAGACCCATGGTAAGTGTTTTCAACTATAACACAAAGGAAACTAACATATATAATGATGTTGAATTAGCTGTTTAAAAACAATTTTTTTTCCAGCTCTGAACCACCTTCCTATTCCACTGTTCAAAGCTATTGTTGGCTTATAAAAAAAAATCACTTCTGTAAATTTACAAACTATGAAGTGCAGAATACAAACACTAAATTATTTAATTATATGTTTACGATAACAAAAAAATGTAATTTATAAAGATTTTAAGTTCAGGTTACCTTAACAATACATACATGTTAAATCTCCCAAGTCTCTAAGATACCTCCCAACAACGAAGTCACCCACTTCAGAACATAATAAAAATAACCCCATTACCATTTAACGATCCATGCTAAAGTTTACTCCCCTGTCACGCAAACAATTCCAAAACCTGGGTTACCCACGCATTCAAAAAAAAACAAATGCTAGCACTTCATAAGAAAAAATTTTTTCACTCCAATTACGAGGTGTACCTTCGGCTTCAAAACCCTGCGCAACGGCGTCCAGCGGCAAGGTGCTGGGGCAAGAAACGCAGCAGGTGCACACAGAGCTCAACACCCACGCGGGTAACCAGAGAATACCAGAAGGCGGGGACTGGGCAGCGGTTATGGGGCGGGGGTGGAAGGGGCACCCAAAAAGCCCGCTTCTTCCCCCGCCAAAACGATTCCGTTACCCATAGTTCACAGGGCACATCGCAAAACCGCCAGGCGAGGAAAAAAACTTTCAGACCTGGGCCGCGGGGGGCCTAACACCCGAGTCCCAGCCGCGGTCTCGGCAGAGCAGGCCATGCCCCCGACCCGAGGCTCCGAGGAGGGATGAAGAAGGGTCAGTGGGAGGGGCGCGGGGAGCGCAGAAATGAACACTCCGGAGAAGCCGCTCCTAGCGGGTCAGGAACGCCTACCCCGGCCCTTAGGATCCGAGAGTCCGAACTGGAACTCTGGGGCTCCCGACCCCGGCGGCTCCCCGCCGCCCCCACCACCCAGGATTCGGGCCGCCGGGGGCGCCCGGAATAGAATCCGGCGGGTGGGGAGGGAGGAAGCGCGGTCACCGCCCCCGGCAGCCTAGGCCGCTCTCCCTCTGCCCGGAGAACGCATTCGGGGGCCCAACCTGAGGATCCCCGCAGCCATACCAACGGGGGCAACAGGGCGGTGCGGTCGCCGGAGCGTCCCCGGATGCTCACCAGGGAGATGGTGTCAGCCAGCGTTGACCGTCTGCCCGGCTGACGGGAATAACGCAACGAGGAGAGCCCGCAGCTACGGGCCAGGCCCGGCGGGACCCAGCGTCGCACAGCCCAGCCTGAGGCGCGCAGCCAGCTGTTGCCAAGGGCCGCGGACGCGCAGGCTTTACCTGTAAACGAAGTCGCCCCTCCTGCCAAGGGCGGCGCGTTGGTCGGCCCCCCTGGAGCCGCCACCCGCAGCGATTCTTCTTCGAAGACCGCAGCTGGGAGGCCCCCAACTTCCCCGACTGCCTAGAGCCCAATGGCCGCCTTCTCTACATTAGCTATCAGGCGCCAACCGCCGCAGCCACCGCCATCTTAGGACCTCATTGTGGTGGGAGAAAAGGGGCGGGAGGGGACTGCAGAGGGGGCAACGCTCAGCAAGACATGCGCCGTCTCCTCGGCAACGGCCACGAGGGGGCGAGAACTCGCCAGTGCCGGAGCCGCAGTGCGATCTCTGCACTAGCCAAGCTGGAGTCACGTGACGCTCAGGAGTCTGCGGTGTCACTTGAGCCCCTCCAGCCAGGAACGGACTTACCCAAAGGAACAAGTAAAGACTACATATCCCAGAATGCCAACTCAACCCGCCAGTCAAAGCATACAAGACTACAAATCCCAGCATGCTGTGCGCTTTCCCATGCTGTCTACTGTACAAGGCTTTCAGGCCTGAGCGGAAATAGATTGACTCATTTGCTTGAAGAGTCGGGGCTCCTTCTGGTTTTCCGCGGGGCCGGGTGGAGCCAGAAGGAAGAGGAAAACTTTTACCTGTCTTCTAGTAGTAGCAACGTTCCTGCCTGGATGAGAAGGAGGCAAAAGGGCCTTTAATATCTAGTCCTAATTTCAATAAGGAGATAAATCCACAGGAAATAAAGTTTGCCACACATCGTATATAGCATTATGGCGAACGAATCATAAATATTGTTAACATCATTGCCGTTTGGAATGCTGTCCTATTTCCTTAGTAGAAGCAGCTAATTTTAAGCAGATTTTTAATCTCACGAAATTTTGTCTGAACCGCTACTCTTTGAATTCCCCCTTAATTTCTTGTTGATAGCTGGATTAATCTGTAAATTGACAGATTATTTTTGTAAAACAATACCAACAAAAATTTAATAAAGTTGTAAGGCTTTCAATATTCCAGACTCAAAAGTTAAATCACATGTCAACTTCAGTTGCATGCAGGGACATTCTGTTTTTAAATCGTTTGTAATTATGGGATCAGGTTTTTAAATTCAAGATTAAGAAGAAGGAATGAAGAATAGGCTTCTGGTTTTCCACAATGACTTTATGATTCCCCTCAGTTTTATAAATACATTGTTTATAAAAACGTACTCATGGGTAAGGGAGAGTAGGCCTTACTATCTCTAGACGGGCTGACTATACTCCAGTGGATGAATTTACATTGAAGGACTTTGGGCACAAATGCTCGACTGGACTTAACATGTATGGCAGAATATGTGAGGTCTGATGGGGGGAGGTAGAGCGTAAAGGGGGCCAGTGTCTAAATTTGATTAAGAACTATTGTATGAGCTGGGCGTGGTGGCACATGCCTTTGATTCCAGCAGAGACAGTAGGATCTCTGTGAGTTAAAGGCCAGCCTGGTCTACATAGCGAGTTCCAGGCCAGCTGAGGGTAGAGGGAAACCCTGTCTCCAAAAGAACTCTTATATGAAACTTAAAAAATCTCAATAAAAAAATTTTTAAAAATAAAAGTACTTATACAACTGTTCTCACAACATAGCTCAAATAAATAAAGCCTTTCCAGACCACAGCAATTTGCTACTACATCCAAGTTCAGTCATCAATGTAATAATAATCCTTGACATTATTTCATCTATTTTATTTTTGAGGCAGGGTCTCACATATTCCTGGCTGATCTCAAAATCTCTCTGACTTCTGATCCTATTTCTTCTACCTCCAGAATGCTGGGCGTGCAGTTGCTGAGAATCAAACCCAGGGCAGGTATGTTAGGCAAGCATTCTGCCAACTGAGCTACATATTTTTAAAGATTGATTATTTCTAGTACTGGTGTAGTGGGGGAGCAATCCTAGACCTTGAAGAACTCATTTTATTGAAGGAGAGGAAATGGGATGGGATGTAAATACACAGTGTATTGTAAGGAAAAGTGCTGACTGAGCACAGAGCAACCAACCAGGTAGGTGTGTTTATTGTAGTCTAGAATGCCCTGTCCTACCTCCACTACTCTAATATCGTGGGCAAGTTACTTAACTTTTTAAAGACCCACTTGTCTTACTTGAAATGAGGGGGAAAGACTAATACTGCCTACCTTTCCAGCGTGGTACTGGAAGTTGAACCTAAGACATTGGACATGCTAGGCAAGCACTCCACCACTAAGCTATATCCTCAGTTCTCTTTTCTTTTTACTTATCCTTTTGATTCAGGGTCTCACTAAGCTACCCAGGTTGGACTTGAACTCACTTTATAACTCCTTTATAGCTCAGGCTGACCTCAAACTGCCTCCCTTCCTTGACCCTCAAATTGATGTTCTAAGTCTGAGTCACCAAATTTATGTGCCTATCTTGAAGGGATTTTTTTTTCCCCTTGAGGGCTTATATTGGTTAGTGTTAAAGACTTTTACCTATTGTATTTTTCTCAATGCTCAGACCCATTTTATAAGTGAAAAGTGAGATAAATCAAGGTTTCTGACAGATCCACATGGTAGAAGCTTGATTTAAGATGAGTTCTACCTGATTGGGTTTTTCTTTTCTTAATATTTAATTTTTTGGGGGGGGCGGGGGTTGAGACAGGGTCTCCCTGTAGCCCCAGCTGGCCTGGAACTCTGTAGACCAGGCTGACCTTGAACTCACAGAGATCTGCCTGCCTCTGCCTCCTGAGTACGGGAATTAAAGGCATGCGCCACCATGCCCAGCTTATACTTTTTTTTTTTTTTTTGGTCTTTTTGAGACAGGGTCTCCCTGTAGCCCCAGCTGTCCTGGAACTCACTATGTAGACCAGGCTGGCCTTGAACTCACACAGATCCGCCTGTCTCTGCCTCCCGAGTGCTGGGACTAAATTTTTAAACGCATGTAGAAACTATTGTCAAAATATTTCCTAAATTTATGGACCCTCAAAACACCAGTGTTGTATTATATTATTATGTCTGTTAGATATTGGGAGGAATTTGAAAAATTCTTACATTAAAAAGGGTTCTTTAAACTCAAATACCAGCATTACTGATTTTTGTAGGGAAAGAGAAAGAAAAAGCTGAGAGTCTGTAAAACTATCCCTGATTTCCAAAATTTTAACATGTATATAACTATACCCCTTACAGAAATCAATCAGTTTTGGTATCAGTAATATCTGACTATGCTAAATAAATGATACAGACAGGAAGTACTTTAGTAATTCAGGAAAAATATAGTGTTATATTATCTCAAAAATTCAGTAGCTCTAGGATTTCTTTGTAGGATTAAATAAGATGTAGCAATCTGTAGGAATATGTGTAGGAAAAAGAAGACTGTCCACTAAGAGGTGCACTTGGAGAATGTGTTTCAGTTTTCCACATTTATGGAAAAAATTTAATGTTTGTTAAAATGTGCAAGAGTATAAATGACAGAGTGATGTGGAAAGAAATGGAACACACCAGAATTATATTGTACATCCAGAATAAGAAATAGATAACACAGAAACCAGACTGGTGAAATTGAGATTCATGAATGAGGTGTGGGGGGATCAACAGGTTATGCCAAAGTATAGAAAGCCTTAAATACAAATCTGAAGAGTTTGGACTTTGTTCTGTAGGTGCTGTGAAACTATTTGAGACTTTGGAAGAAGTTTTTTTATTGTTTTTCTTTGCTCTTGCTGAAGAGGGTACCCAGGGCCTTGAACATGCTAGGCAAGTGACTTACTATTGAGCATGCTCTCTCCCTCTCATTCCTCCCCTCCCCAGGCTAGGCTTGAATTTATAATCCTCCTATTCCTACCTCCTGAGTGAATACTGGCATTACAAACATTTGCACCCAGATTGAACAGAAAATGATTAAGACTTCAATTTGGTGGTCATGTTTAATACAAACTAGGAAGAGAAGAAAAGAGAGCAACAGAAAACAGATGGCATCTGGTTTGGTGTTATACAATAACTGAATGATAAGTAACTGAATACACTTTGAATAACAAAGTTAGTTATAATGATGGTTGAAATACTATTCATTTCTGTCAGGTGTGGAGGCCTAGGCGTTTAATTCCAGCACTGGAGAGGCAGAGGCAAGTGGAACTCATCCAGGCCAGCCTGGTCTACATAGTGAATTGCAGGCTAGATGGGACTACTGGGAAACTTTCACAAACAAACAAAATATATGAAAAATACTATTTGTTTCTGTTCTTGATATTTAGTAGAATACTGGTCAGGTGGTAGGTGAAATAGAACTTTTGTGTTTAAATTGTCTATTTTTTAAATATATTTTTTGGGGGGCTGGAAAGATGACTCAGCAGTTAAGAGCACTTGCTGTTTTTCTAGAGGAGCCAGGCTCAGTTCCCAGCATCCACATGGTGCCAAGCAACTGTAATTAACTCCAGTTCCAGGGGACCTGACACCTTCTTTTGGCTTCCACAGGCATTGTGCGCACTGGTGCACTTACATACATGCAGGTAAAACAGGCACATAAAATCAAAATAAATAAAAATATTGAAATATCTATTGTATGTTATTTAAATATAATGGATTGTGTATGGCTGTATCAGAGACCCTGCCCTGTGAACATCTGTATATTCCCAATCCTTGCAAAGTTCACTAATTTTAATACTCGTTAATTTGTTGTTCTAAAAAAAAAAACCAGTTTTCTGTAATACCTAGTTTAAACCTGCAGGTGGTGATAGAATAACAGAGCTCTGAGGAAAAATCTTCAGTGCCCACTAGACTATTAAAACTGAATTTTAGTGCTTTTTTATTATATAAATTTTTGTATGCCCAAAGAATGTATAGAACACATGTAAGTGATAAACTAAAATAATAAAAACTCTTAAGAATTCATTCCCTGGATAACCTAAAAAACTAGAATTGGCTGTTTAAGATTCCCCATTCTTTCCTACAAAATCATTACTTTTTGCCCACATAAATACTGCCCTGAACTGGTTATTGTAGTTCCTTCATTTTCCTTATATAATTATGTATATTCACAAATCAATATCTTTTAATTTGCATTGTAAAATTATTAGTAGTATTATTGGTCTTTTGGAGACAGAGTCTCCCTGTAGCCCCAACTGGCCTGGAACTCACTATGTAGAGCCGTCTGACCTTGAGCTCACAGAGATCCTCCTGCCTCTGCCTCCTGGGTTCTGGAACTACCACTGCACATGAGTTATTCTCAAATTTAATATAAATGGTATC